CGGCGGAGGGCTGCGAGCGCCCGGGGACTCCGTGCTCCTCTCCTGCCACGGATCCGGCTTTGACTTCCAGAATCATTATGTTCGGTGGTACCGTCAGGCACCCGGTGGCAATGTTGAGTGGGTGTCCTGGATAAGCCATTTTTCATCAAAGGTTCAATTCGGGCCAGCTGTGGAGGGTCGAGCCACAGCCTCCCGGGACAATTCCCAGTCCCAGGCATCTCTCCACCTGCACCTGCTGCATCGTGGGGACTGTGCCCACTACTTCTGTGCTGTTCACACGGAGGCAGGAAATCCTGCTGAGCTTGAACACAAACCTCCTGCCGAGGTCCCAACTCTGGGCCTCGAAGGTGGAAGGACTGTGTGTCCCCTTGATGTTCAGGGTTGCTCCCAGAGTGTCGTATGCTCATAGCGTACAGTTTTCAAATATTTGATTCTGATAGGGACGTACTACCTTTTTCTGTGTCACGTAAACATCGTTTCCTCTCCCACTCCGGAATTCCTTCTCCTTTAGGAAACAAGTTTTGCTATTTCCTTTGGTTCTGTGTAGTACAGATACACCCAGTCATGGCCCAAATGGCGAGCCCTGATCTGCTTTTGGGAATGGCTTAGGTCGACGCAGTCCAGCCCACAAGATTTTCTGCCTGAGGGGTGAGCAGAGAAAAGATGGCAAGTCACTTGGGAGCACACAGAGAGTACAGGGAAGTCGTGTTTCTCTCCCACATCAGACATTAAAATGGGAGGAAGAGCTTGTCAGCATGGGCGTTTGCAGCTGCTGGATCCCAGACATCAGAAGCAGAAGCCCAGGAGAGTGGTGGAGTAGGTGAAGTGATTGCTTGAGTTGTTCCTGCCTGTTCCTCCTTGTCTCCTGGGGTTGCAGGTGTCCTTACTCAGGTGCAGACAGAGTCCTCTGGCCCCACAGTAGGGAAGGTCTCCCCGTCTCTCACGCTTAACTGCCACATTTCTGGTGTCCCCACCACTGACAGCATCTACGCTTGCTACTGGATCCGTCAGACTCCTGGGAGAGACCTGCAGTGTTGCAGTCCCCACCACTGACAGCATCTACGCTTGCTACTGGATCCGTCAGACTCCTGGGAGAGACCTGCAGTGTTGCAGTGTCCTTTCACAGGACTCCAGCACATTGCTTCATCCTTCCAGACCCAAGTCACCAGCTCTGCAGACCCCTGCAGGAACCAGCTGTCTCTGGAAGTGTTCTTGGCATCAGCTGCAGACACAGCCACCTATTTCTGTAGCACCAGAGAGCTGGAAAAGGGTACAGTACATGAATCACAGGCAGTGCCAGGGCAGAACTGGAAGGAAGGGGGTTAAATCCAGCCAGGTGTGTTGTGGCTGCTGCAAGGCAAGGTTCTGAGATTTGGGTGGGGTTTTTTGTTATGAAGACGAACAATGAGTGTTATGGAACTAAAATATGATCATGGAAAGCCAGAGCTGAACTGAGTTTTGAAACCAGGGAGCCCCAGAGTAGTGTAACAGCAGGAGCTGAGCTGCAGAGCGTCTTTTCCCCAGACCGTGGTGAATATTCTCGTTGTGTTGTTAGTGTTGGCTCGATGTGCATCTATGCTCATGTGTGTACACTGAGGGCCAGCATGGATATTTCTGAGGAATGGCAACAATCAGGATATGGGCTTGGGACCAGAGGGAACCTGGCATGTCCTACCAGGCTGGTCCACCTCCAAGTGTCCCTGGCCCTGTATCCTCCTACTTTCCCCAGCCTCAAGCCTCCAGGTTCTATGGGTTCCTCTGCAGCTCCCTTTCCCACCCATGTCCTGTGGATCCCCTTCCAAAGGGCCATGGTGGAGCACCCATGAAAAGAGAGGGGAGGGGAAGGATTGGGACACTTTGTGTGGAGGGGCAGTGTTCCCCAAAATGGTGGTACTCATCAAGACAGTGAGACTGTGTCAGGTCTCCAGAGGTGTCCCATCCTGTGGTGGCAGGGGGAGCTCAGGATTCCTCTTCAGCTTCTTCTTCCCCTCCAGTCCCCACCTCTCGCCTTCACTGTTGCCATAGAGCGAGGGAGGGACCAGGAGGGACTCGACTGACTGCAGTGACAGAGGCACAGGCAGGGAAGATGTGGGCAGAGCTGTTGTGCTGGCAGAGAGAAGGTGGAGAGAGGGGAGAGAGAGCGGGCCTGGCCACGTGGACTGCCCTGTGCATGGGGTTATTGCCCATCATAGGTAAGTGAAAGGAAGGGGTGATGCCTCCCCGGAACTGAGCATGCCCTTGTGCTCTGCATAGCTCTGTGGAGCTGTGCTGACCGCTTGCAGCCTGACCAGACCCACACCTCTCCCATCCCTGCAGAGCACAGTGGGAATAGCCCTCCTCCTCTTCTAGCCGTGAGTTAGGCACCTCCACCCAGCGTGTCTCCTCTGCAGTGTGGGGACAGGCAGGCCCCACTTGCATGTGAGAAGTCCTTGTCCGTCCCGTGTTCATTCAGAACGGTTGCACGGACAGGACAGTGGGTTCCTCACCATTCCAGGTTCTCAAAGACAAAGGGATT